GTGTGCTTTGTGAATTACATCAGGAGAATGCACAACATCTATTTATTTCATGCGAAAAATCTCATGTTGTACGGTTGAAAATTTCTGGTTGATGGGATTTGAATCCAAGTAATCATGGTCGGTTGAATACATTTTGCTTTAACTTTTATGGGACTCGTATGGGAAATAAGAGCAATGGTTATGTTAGCATTTCTTTGAAGCATTTGGAGTATTAGAAATATAAGATTATACTTTATAAGGGCTTGTGGAAAAGTGTAGAATTGTTGAACTAATACCTATGAGATCTTTTGAGTGGATTAGAGGGAAATGTCGAAGATTAGTTGTTGATTTTGCTAGTTGGTGCCAGTTTCCTTCTCTTTGTGCATCTGAAATAGCAAGAGAGGACTGCTATGTGCAGTCGCCCTTTTCTTGCACTCTCCAACACTCTCACATATAAAATGGCCATGTAATAAACTTTAGCTCGCAATTCAAAGTTCCCAACTTGAAAAATTCACGTGGCTATTTTACATGAGAGAGTGTTAAGAGAGTGCAGAAAAACGCGACTGCATGTAGCAATCTTCATAGCAAAAACACAATAAGGTGTTTTTGAGTTGTGTTAGATTTGTGAACAAGGAAGAAAAAGCACTCAGCAATGAAATATACAAATCATAAATGAGAAGAAATCACACATGAAGAATACAAATATAAGGATTATGTTCAATGAAGGAGATGGAATAGGGAAAAGGAGGTAAAACATCAAAGGGGGACAATGGAGGAGAGCAAGGGAAAATAAGGGCTTTAACTTGAGATTAAATTGTTTTAATAATCTATTTTTGTCAAAAAATTGATACTGTAGACTTCAAACCAGTTTACCATTAATTAATTGTAGATTAAAAATTAAACAAAAAATTTTGCACTTTTGAGGATAGAAACAAAACAAGAAAAACCCATTTGAAAAGAGAAAGAGAAATACTTCGGGTTTTCATTTTGTATCTATTAACCCTAAAAAATAACTCAAATGACCCAATCAATTGGAGTCACCAAGATTTCATTGATGGTAGAAGAAGTACAGAGCTTGAGATTCAGTCTTTGATCTCTTTTGTGATTCCCTATGGTCCTTTTAACCTTAGAGATCGTCCTGAAATCCTTATCTAATCAATCCTATCTATAATTTAAATTAAAAAGAAAAACGATAGATAATTTCTAAATGATCTATTTTAATCACGTGACCCTAATTTTCCTCCAATCTTGAGTTACAGTTATAACACTTGCCCCCCATCGATTCTTGATGGGGGGGCAAGTGTTATAACTGTAACCGAAGATTTTTTGTGCCTTTAACTTTCCTCAATGGTGTTCATCGTGTAGCTTGATGATGTCATCCACCACCAATTGCCCAAGAAAAACAAAATATAGTGCAGAGGTTCTAAATTCAAATTTAATCCTAGTGTTGGGATTTTAAATTTTTTATGCAGAGTTTTGGGTTTAATAGCTTTGCATATAGAGGTCTTAGAATTTTATTTGCAAAGGTATTTGATAACTCTGCATACAAAGATCTTAGAATTTTTACCTACAAAGATATTTGATAACTTTGTATACAAAGGTCTTGGATAACTCTACCTTCAAAGAAATTAGATATTTTCAAGTAAAATTTCCAAAAATATAAAAATTGCTTGGTTGGGGACTCCCAAAAACATAACAATTCCTTAGGTAAGCAAATTTCCATTAGCCCAACCTTTTCTTTTTCTTTTTTTTTTAAGAAAAAAAAAAAAAAACAGATTTAACTCTTGTAATCTTTATCTACTAAAGGTTAAATTTCTTAATTTTTAAAAAAGGTACAAATGACACTTACCACCTTATAAAAATATGTCTAATCATAATTTATCTCAATTTCAAATATTTACCTAAATATTTTTATCTTTCTTAAAGATAATACCCAAATTTTGTTGGCCAACAACTACGTATGGTTCAATTACATATTTGTTAAAGAAGATGAACCTCTTTTTTTCCCAAGAATAGTTTTAACTTGAAGCATATTTTAATTTGGATTGTTGTTTGGTTTATGAGAAAAGTTAAAACAGAAAACAAAAATGTTTCATTGGTAGAAGATTTACTATTTGCATTCTTAGATAAAAAAAATGAATGAAATAGGGTTCTTGATTGGTTTTTGAGAGAGGAAAATAAATTGAAAAAGAAAATATTTCATTGATAAAAGAATTACTATTTACTTAGAAGAAAAATGAAATCGAGGTACTTATTTATTTTATGAGAAAAAAAAAAAGAATGAAAAGTAAAAATATTTCATTGAAACTAGAATATTTACTATTTGCTTCTTAGTAAAAAAAGTGAAAATATATATTGATTTTCTTGCTACCTGAATTTTTTTATCTTTTCATAAAGCTACGTAATTTTTTTTTTTTATGAAAATAGAGATTATTATTGAAAATAAAAAATGACATTACATCTGAATTTCTAAAGCATGGCAGTCTAACTTAATATAAAAGCAAAACCTACAACACTAATTATAAATTTAAATTATATTCATAATAAATCTAAACAATTAAATAAAGAAGACCAACGATAAATCTAAATAATTAAATAAAGAAGACCAATATCTGCAAATATGGATTGCCTTAGCAATTAGCTGCATGGGCATAATAAGGTTATAGATATAGAAAAAAAGTCACTATAAGCATCATGAATTATTGGACATTCACATCTATTAAGCCAGTTTCTTAGGGAGAGTAAGTAATTAGGCTAACAATAGTTCCCACCCAATGATAGTCCTATCATATCTATGGAGCAATTACCCAATGGGAAAAAGGTACCCCTTCCTTCCCAATCATAAACAGATAATTGAAATAGTCTAGGATTAATTCTACTCTCCTTCATCGTCAAAACCAACACCTTCACCTTTGAGTCTGACGACCTAACTCCAACCTAACTCCAACCTTAAACTCCTTTATCATCCCAAGCTTTGTTGTAATCATAATAGATTTCTCATGAGGCCATGGAACCCACCATGTGAAAGAGACAGCACATTGCCAATCTATTGGGAATGAGATAGAAAGTGAGCTATGAGGCTAGTGGTTGTTCAATAAAAAGGCCAATTTTTGGTGAGATATATCATACCCTCGACAAATCAGATTCAAGCTACTTCGCAGCCTGCGTGTAAGATTGCTAGCCCTTGTATCATCATCCCACTGTGATATTTTGTCCATGCCCCACCAATCACCCAAAATCCTCAAGTAGTTTGCAGCCCTCAAACACATGATTGAGGACGACTACAAGAACCTTGTGTCGATAATGAGATCCCTTTTAAGGACACGACAATTCTAGACCAATGTTTGCATTTGAGTTATGGAGATAATAAAAGGGGGATAGGAGGAAGAAATAAGGGGAGGAGGTTTTTCAAATAGGAAGTTGCACTTAGGCGATTTGCTTGCCTACCAAGGAGTGAAAACCCTAGTAGTGACAACGAGAGGATAATATTTTTTCTAATTAAAATATAGTGCTTTTTGAGTGCCACCCAACAATTTTTTCATTTCATAGAAAAATAAATTTTGATAGAATTCAATTCAAAATTTCAAATCCATTTGCTAATTAATGAAATTAATTTTATTAGTTTTAATCATTATAAATTAATGGTTGATTGTCTTTTATCAAATATAGAACAAGTTTGTAATTTGAATGCCAACTAAAAAAAAAAGTTTGTAATTTGAACAAAAATCTAAAATGTTAAAAATTTAACTTATATTAAATTAAATTATGAGGGCGTTTTCATCAATAGATATACATATTTATTTCCAAACCATGGCACTCCAAGAATAGGGCTAGAGTATTAAATTGTTTAATCCAATCATATCTAATCTAATCCCATTATTTATATCATGTACAATCCTATCCAATCTAATTTCAAAGGTGCCCTTAGATTGTCTAAGTCCAATGTCAATCCCATTATTTTTATTTTGTCCAACTCTATTTAATCCTGTATTTCCAATCAAATGTGTCTTTAACAAATTAGATACACATAATTAATAATTAATTAATCTAAATAAAAAATTTTGATTTTTTTAAAATAAAAATAAAAATTTAAATTTTATAAATAAATAAGTAATAAATTTTTTTTTTATAAAATATAAATAAATTCAACTTTAAATTAATCAAAATTTAAAAGTCATAAAAAAAAAAAAAACCAATTAGATACACACAAGTATATGATATACTCAGTACCCGGAACTAATCCCTAACTTGATGTGACGGGTACAAATTGGCTGAAACCTTACACGTTTGGGTCAACAGGGATTACGCGTTTATTGGGCCCTCGTAGAGTTGTAGCGAAGAGACAACTAGACCAATTGAGGCACCCCACCTCCGTCCCTGACCCCGTTTCTTACCCACCTTTAACCCCTTTTTGTCTATGAGTAAACTTTTTGGTTAGAATACCAATTCAATCTTTTGATTTTTAAATTCATATTGGAATTTTTTTTAATTTTAAAAAATATTAAAATTATTCTTAAATTTTAATTTTTTGATATCAAAATAATTTTTTTTGTTAACACAAATGTTACATAATTCTTTATCTTATCACAAAATCAATTTACTTTTAAAATATTAATAATATATAAAATCAAACAACTTTCTTTTGCTATCATAATAAATTTTTATTTATATATTAGATAGATATATAATTAAAATTAAAAAACTAAATTCATATTTATAATTAAAATTTAAGACTAAATTAATACTTATCTTCAAAGTTTAGAGATTAAGTTAGTAAAAACTATGTTGGTATAAAAATTAAAATTTAAGAATAATTTTAATATAAATTTAAAAATTTAAAAATCAAATTAATATTTTAACCAAACTTTTATAATGTTTTTTTTTTTTGAAGTTTCACAGTAGAATGCAGCTTCCCATTCTTTTATAAATAAATTCCTTCACCTAAAAGAGATTACCAACCTCATTATTTTTTGTAAATGGGACATTATAAAAGTTTGGTTAAAATATTAATTTGATTTTTTAATTAAATAATGGGGCATCTCAGCCGGTGCTCTACTTTATGGACCCTGAAAGCATGGAGTGGGAGAAGAATGGAGGGGCAAAGCAATTGGTACGGACGGTTGCCGCAAGGAATTTTGGTTGTCTCTAATTTCAAGGTGCACAATTCTAATAATTTTTACTGAGCTAGTCTAATATTATTGACTAAATTGATTGTTTGTTTATGTGATTCAATAGATTTTTTTTCTAAGAGTACTTGTCATCTTCCTTTGATTTTGGGTTTCGAGTGCGATTGGGTGGGGAAGATTTAAGTTTACTTTGTTTATGCACACCAGGTATTTGATCAAATGCCTATGTGGAGACATGGGTTTTATTTTTAAATTGTATTGGGATATGCTGCAATACGTTCAAGATTTTTTTCTCTGGGTATGCAGGTTTGGATGTTTTAAGTTGAAATGCGACACTGATTATCAAAATGAGAGTATTTTGTACCAGTGTTAGCCATTCAATCAACGTTTTTAAAATCGGACCGGTTATTGAACCGTTTTCAGGTTCGGTTTCTGGTTTGACCGGTTTAACCGGTTCAATCGGTTCAACCAGTGAACCGGTCGATTCAACCAGTGAATTAGTCGGTTCAACCAATGAACCGGTTGGTTCAATTAATGAACCGATTGGTTCAAATAACAAGGGAAATTTGATGAGAGGGATAAGTAATTTTGTAATTTCTTTAAAATTAAGGGTTAAAATCGGTATAAGAAAGGAATGGTGAGGGTGAAATTGGAAAAACTAAAAAGAAAATTGCATAAGAAATTGAACCGGTGGTTTTTTTGGTTCTATCGGTTCCATCGGTTTCACTGGTTTTGAACGGTTTTGAACGGTTTTGACCGGTTTTGAACGGTTTTTGACCGACTTTGACCTCAAATGGTTTTTTTGTGTGAACCAAGCCGTTTTCATTATCGGGTATCGATCCGACCGGTTCAACCGACCGGTCCGGTCTGATTTTTAAAACCTTGCATTCAATGGAGTTGTTTTTTTATTTTATTTTTTTATTTCAACATTAAAGAATGGGAAAGAGATAAATAGTAACAATAAATATCAATGATTTGTTAGTTCTAATGGAATGAATTTGATTTTTTTTTTAAATTTAAATTTTATAAATAAAAAAATAAATATTAAATTTAAAATTTAACTAAAGTTTTTAAAATCGGATCGGTCAT